TATGATGTGTTTCTTCAAGATCCAAAACTCTCCAAACTCCCCTCGGTGACTCTCGGTGTAGTAGTTTTGGATGGCTGGCAACTGGCCTAACCGGCAATACTGGCTTGTTCACTTAAAGGATCACTCTGAGAGTTTCTTGTGGAGTTCTTCAGAAGCCAGTTTGGGGGCTGGAGCTGGTGACTCAGCACAGTCCTTGTGAGCAAAAGTGTAGGGTGGGAGACTCACATGGGATATCTCTTAGAATGCTCACACACATTCTTTTTCTCTTGCTGCACAGTATCCTTTGCCTTTAAACAAAAGCCTTATTTGAGTATACTCTGTGGAGTCTGGCAAGTTCTTTCAAATATAAAAACTGGGGAAAAAACTTTTGTAATTAACTATTAATACATTAAAGAATTGCAGTATGGATTAATGATTCATTGAGTGTTTTAGGCTTCAAGCAAATCTTAAAAGTAGATTAATATAATTTTTAATATGTCACATCCTTAGAATATTATAAATTCACTTTTATTTATGTGAAGTATGAACTTATTTTTCCCTTTAGCAACCCTTAATAAAAGTTCTCTAATCCTGGTTCATTGATTTCCACATAATCAAAAAACTTATACCTTAAAAATCACCCATTCAGTCCTTCCATTTTACATATGATGAAACTAAGTCCCAGAAAACAGTAACTATTTCTACAAAGTATTTCGCAAACAGCAAAGCTAGAATTACATTCCAGATTTCTGATTACCGGGAAAGTGTTCTTTGATAATCATAAAAACTAGATTAAAGGGAAGTATCATTTTTTGTTTTAGTAAAAAAACCACCGGTTGATTAATTTCAGACACCCAAATAGAAACTTTCTGAAAAAATATGACTGTCAACCATCTTGATACACATAAAATTATCCAACATTATACAGACATTATATCAGAAAATTATCTTAAGTGAATTCAAATTATTCTCCTTTCCTGGCCATTTTATCATCATTGTCTAGATAACTGTCACGACCCTCAGAATAAGAATCCACTATCTAACAACTTTAGCAATGAATGATTCCATTTGAGAGTAAACTTAATATTGAACCTATAATTCAATTATAGTTCAAGCACCAAGCCATCATTTCTCAAAGTGCTATTTTGAGGAACACTAGAGTACTGTAAGATGTTCTGTGAATAAAAGATGCTAGAGTCAAGTAAATTTAGGAAAAGCCACATAAACTATATAAACTGACACAAATAATTAATATACAGTTGACCCTTGAACAACAGGAGTTTGAGCTGCGTGGGTTCACCTTAAGGGCAAAATTTTTTCAGTAGTAAATACTAGATGACTACACAGTCTGTGGTTGGTTGAATCCACGGATTTGTATCCACAGATACTGGGGGCTGACTTGATGTTATGCGTAGATTTTCTAATATGCAGCAATGACTGCCCCTAACTTTCTGCTCTTTTCAAGAGTCAATTATATATACATACGTATGCTTATACATATTTTCCCTCTTAGAAATTCATAGTGTACGTTAAACACTAAGATGTCTTTCAAGGAAGAAAACGTTCAACTTTATTTCAGCATTTCTAGAACTTCTTTGATCATAACATGCTTTTTCACCAAATAACTCATTAACAAAGGAAACAGTATTATAAAATACATTTTGGGGAAAACTTATCTAAGCATCTTTTGTGCTATCCTACCAAGTAAATGAGATATCCAAATTTACATTTATTATAATCACATATGTATATAGCATGTCATAATTTTCAAGTACTTTTATTTAAATTGTGCTTACTTGATCCAAGGTATAGAATGGTACTTATCTCATGGCAGAACCAACATTTGTTGAGTGAATAAAAGTACAATCAGTTCCAATCAATTACCAAGGTAGTGCTTATAAATGTTTTTAAGAATAGGATACTTAATTATTACATTACATGGGTTTAGATATGAAAAAACTCCATGGTTTACCATAACATGTAGGAAAGGAAGAGCAAGAGCCCACAACATGGATAGTAATGAAAAAAAATCCCTAAATTTTAATCCATCAAAGTAGATATTTAGTATACTAAAAACTACATACCACATATATGTATATGGTTAACTTTTTTACTAAGATACTACAAACTCTGCAGAAATCTAATTATGCTACTTCTAAAAGCCTGCTCTCAAGAATTTACATTTTTAGTATTAAAAGAGAATCAAAATTAAAATAGGAAAATCACCACTTCACAACCATTACAGTAATAAGTAATCCATCCAAGAAACATCAACAGATGCTAGAACCAGGGAGTAGAAATTTTGATGAGGAACAGTATGTTTATAAAGTCTCAACTATTTCCTTCAAATCAAAATACTTATTGATTACAGTTAACAAATCAAAAAAATTATTAACTTCAAAAAGGAAAAAAATAATGCTATAATGGAGAGACCTAGTAGACAGAAGCTTAATCAAGGAATCAGGGTATGAGACACCACCATGACAAATCAAACACAAGCTCCACTTAAGAATGTTAAAAGGACTCAGCAATCCTTTTGAGATGGTCCGGCTGAAAATGCGCAACATGAATCTAATCATGCAAAAAACATCAGACAAAACCAAATGGAAGCACATTCTATAAAATAACTGACCTGCAACATTCAAAACTTATCAGTTGGGAAAGTCAAGGCAAGGCTCAAGAAGAGTTCTAGTTTGAAAGAGACTGAGGAAACATGGTAGGTAGCTAAATCTAATCTGCACAGAGACCCTTTCGACAAAAGGCAAAACTTGGTGATACAGGAGAATGTCTCTGTAAGATGCTAATACTGAACTATTCCAGGGTGATTGAGCAATATGCTGACAACTTACTCTCAAGTGGTTAAAAAAACCTCTTTGAACTATACTTACAAAAAAAGATGAAAATTTAGATAAACTTAAAACTTTAAAACCAATATACATATTTCTACTATCTTCAATATTATTTATACTTCTTTCTGGATTTGAAATTAAAAGTTTCTAAACTAATCATCAACTTCTTTGGTTTTCTGAATTCCTAGATTCCAGTGGGGATAGGAGATTCTAAAATGTATGAAATACTCAGGAATACCACAAAGATTAGGGACTTAGGCACTAACAGAAGGAGGAACAAAAACATATCAGGGAAAACTGGAACCTATTATGAAAAGGGCTATCTTCTGGAGGTACACATAAACAGAACTGCAGCAAATTTAAAATAAATGCATTTCCACTGGGAAGACCCAGAGGGATGGGATGGGGAGGGAGGTGGGAGGGGGGATCGGGATGGGGAACACATGTAAATCCATGGCTGATTCATGTCAATGTATGGCAAAAACCACTACAATATTGTAAAGTAATTAGCCTCCAACTAATAAAAATAAATGAAAAAATAAAATAAAATAAAATAAGTGCATTTCCAGCAGAGTCTCTGACTGTGACCAAAACACAGTGGTAAAATATATTACAATATGTGGTTAAAAGAATTGTTATTTTTACCACAAAACAAGCAAGTCTAAAAACTCATACTGCTACAGATAAAGAATGTTTTTAATCTGACTGTTTATTTTTTACACTGCAACAATTCAGAATGTACCAATTTTTAAAGAATATGGGCAGTAATATTTTAAAGTGAACAATGAAACACTAACTATAAAAATACTCTTTCTGTATGCTACTAATGCAAACAACAGTTCCCTTCATTTTCCTAAATTTGCTGGTTAAGAATTTCTTAGACTAGAATCGTGAGAATGCAGATTAATAAAGGAATGCAAATTTCCAGGCCTCATCCAGAATTCAAAGTCCTTCATAAACTATTCATAAAAAGTGAAACTCTTACTCAGTTGTATCCCACTCTGCAACTCCATGAACTGTCTCCTGCCAGGCTCCTCAGTCCATGGGAGTCTCCAGGCAAGAATACTGGAGTATCCATTCCCTTCTCCAGGGGATCTTCCAGACCCAGGGATCAATCAAACACGGGTCTCCCACATTGCAGGGCAGATTCTTTACCATCTGATCCACCAGGGAAGCCACTCTAATAAAACTTTCATGGAGGTTTTATATACATTAGTTGTAGACCAAGAGTTAACACATCAGCTTGAGATCACTATCCCTAGAAATGGCAGCTTGCAGGATAAGCTCTCTTGGTTAACAACTGGTAACCTGACTTTCAAGACAGCTTCCACCACTCCCAGACTGAAAAGGGTGGCACACGATGTCTGTACTCCTTGTACAAGCAATACAGTTTACGACCAATCTCTGTTTTCCTTCTGCGCGTCTGAAATTTTGGTACATGCTAACTAAAGCAGAAGGGTGCATATAGATTGACATCAATACGAACCCTGGACATCCGGGTTCAGGTGAGCTGTCCTACTAGAGGGCATTTCATACATGTGGTAATAACTCATTGTAAGAGGAATCAAGCATGTCCTGTGTGGCTCCACTGGAAGAAGACTGCTGGAAGCTTGAGCCTGGCTTCCTCTAGACTCCATCCCTTGTGCCTTTTCCCTCTGCTGATTTCACTTTGCAAACTTTTGCTGAGTCTTATGAGTATTCCCAGTGAATCAACCTTGGGGTCATTTGGGGGATTCTGAAGACAATACCTTAAGGTATAAAATTACCTTCTGTAGGGTGCCAAATGTTCAATGTATATTATATATAGATTAGCAATCTGCAGTTGATAACATTAAGATGACAAAAGTTCAAAATAAGTCCTACCTCACTTACAAAATTATCAACTTTCTGGACTATTGGAGAAAAATTACTCAGAAGATTTTGTAACTTTCATTTTCTGAAAGCTCAAATTTGCAATCTCAACTGCAAATATAGTTATTCAAGATTTCATTCACCCAGTTGCTACAAATTATTTCTATATGTGTAAATATAGAAATTCTACATTAAATTAAAATTTTAAATTCAAAATAGAACTCATCCTTGTCATCAAAAACAAACAAACCCAAATGCTAACTCAAAACAGTTTTCTGTCCATCACAATTTAGGTAGTGTTTAAAAGGGATCCATTCTTACCATGTGGAGTTATGGTCTGCACAGGCTTCGCAGGGGATCTCACATTCCATATAGTTAAGGTGCCATCTGAATGACTGCAAATAAATTGTTTTCCTTCATGATGCCAAGCAACAGAGTGGATAGCCTACAAAAGAGGGGTAAAGAATTCCACCTTTAAAAACAAAAACTTATTTAAATATCAAGTTATTCATAATTGGAACTGGAATTAATTTTTCATATTAACTTTTTTCTTATTTCCTAAGCTGAAGTCCATATGTTAACATTAAATTCCCATAACTTAATTGTCCTGCCAAAAAAATGAGATTTAATTTTGTTCTAACACTCTTTTAACTTTCAAAATTTTATTTAATCCTTAAGGGAGCATAATAATAACATAATAGTGATTATGTATTATTGACAAGTTCAAGAAAACAATGCATTCTTGTAGTTTCTTAGAATAAACAATAACTAAACATAAATTACCAAGTAACTATAATCAATAGCCTACTGGAAAAACTAGTTGCATTGACTGTTCAGAACAAATTTTATAAATTAAGTAAAATTCTAGGAGACAAGAATGCAGATTTTAGAATTAAGACTGATTGAAAATACCTCAAATTGAACTTCAAGACAGGTGACAAAAATCTATAAGGCATGCAAAGAAACCAGGAAATATGATGCAAAATGAGAAGAAAATGTAGTCAATAGAAACAGACTCAGAAATGATACTTATGAGAGAATTAGCAGACAAGGATATTAAAATAAATATTTTAAACAGACTCCACATGCTCTAAAAGGTAAGTGAAAACATGAAAATGTTGAGGAAAGACATACAAGCCTTCAAAAACATAAGTGGAATTTGTAGAGATGAAAAATGTCTAAGATGAAAAATTGTCTCTGGATGGGTTTGCCAACAGATTTGATACAGCAGAAAGAAAGCGTGATTAACTTGAAGACACACAGCAGCAGAAACTACTCAATGCGGAAGATGGGCAAAGAATAAGCAGAACATCTAGAACTGTGGTACAACTTCAAGAAGACTAATAGGTGTGTCATAGGAGTCTCAGAAACGAGCCTATGGACGGAAAATATATTGGAAGAAATAATGACCCAAAGTCTCCCAAATCTGATGAAAACTTTCAACTCTATAAACTTCTAGAATACACAGATATCTTAGAAATTCAATGAGCTCAAAGCAGAAGAAATGAAGAAAACTACATAAACGTACATCATATTTCAATTGCTTAAAACTGGAACTTTAGTGATAAGAGATCCTTAAAAGCAACCAGACGGTGGGGACAAGGAGTGGATCACGTTAAACGGAGAAAAGCAGAGATTAAGATGACAGCAGATAGCTCCTTAGAAACAATGCAAGAATGCAGCTGAATAATACCTTTACAGTTCTGAGAGAAAAAACTGTCAACCTAGGACTGTATCCACCAAAAATATCTTCGCAAAAACAATAGGTAAAATAAACACATTTACACACATAAAGGACTCAAAGAATACATCATTTGCAGATTTTCACTGTAAGACATGTTACAAGAAGTCCTTCAGGCAGAAGGTAAATGATACGAGATGGAAGTGCGGCTCTACTCAAAAGAACGGAGAATACCAGAATGACAGATATGTAGGTACGTATTAATTATAGTCTTATTTTTTATCAAATGTTTCCAGGAGAACAGTCTCATAAATCAGGACATTAAAGAAACCCTTTGTTTTTGGCTGTGCTGGCTCTTGGCTGCGGCGCAGGCTCTCCTCTGGTTGCGGCGCGCAGCCTCCTCACTGCAGTGGCTCCTCTCGTTGCAGAGCCCGAGATCCCAGGGTGTGCAGGCTTCAGCAGCTGCAGCTCCCAGGCTCCAGAGCACAAGCTCAGAAGTTGTGGGGCAAGGGCTTAACTGTTTCACTCACGTGTGAATCTCCCCAGATCAGGGACCAAACCCGTGTCTCCTGCATTGGCAGGCAGATTCTTTACCACTGAGCCACGAGGGAAGCCCAATTATACTCTCTTAAATACTTTTCACCTTTTCTTCTGGTATGTAGTTAAAAATTATTACTTGGAAACAGCTTGGACTTTTTAAGGCTTGCTTAAGCTCTGTTAGGCTAGCTAAGCCAGTCTTTAACGCAGGGCTAGTCTGTCCCTACGACAAGGCCAATACCTTTTTGAGTATGCTTTGCGATGCCCTGTCCATTACAAGCATTCTCCGTTCTGTTGGGAATGTGACCTATTCTTAGTCCTGTGTGTGCTATGAGAATTGTTTTACCTACTCCTTTCCAATGGATCTATTCTAAACCTCACACTCATGCACTAATCATTATTCAGTTCAACTTAAGACTAAGGTAAAGGGCTCCTTGTGGATTTTTAAAACTCTCTCACAAGGCAGGTCCCTACATTCTGTTACCTTGTCTTATAAGTTATGGATATCTTTCCTCATTTCCCAACTCTGTTTCCTCATTGCAGGGAGACTGCTGGGTTTAACGTAGGTTCCCTCTTGCCCATGCCCATGGAATGAGACCTGGAAAATCTCTCCAGACCATAAGCTAATGCAGTTGAAAGGCTCACCTTTTCCCCCTAAGGAATCCCTGTTCTATACTATCTGTTAATTTCTATAAACTGTTCTTACATATATTTTCCCAGTGTGTTTGTTTAAACTGAGAGGGTAAATTCCCTGTGATTCAATAGTGGCTAAAGCCAAGATAACTATGTAAATTACAAAAGTAAAATAAAAAAAGTCAAATATGCTCTCATTTTGACACAACAAACAGTTCTACAGGCCAAAGCTTCCAGAGAAATGACAAGAACTCTTTATTAAAAATACTCTCTTAAAATAATTTTAAGATCTTGACTGGTAAGTGACAGAGTATTTACCAACCAAAAGGCTTTAAAATTTAAAAAAAAAGGATACAGTTATGGAAACAAACAAAAATTTCTTTTGGTCAGGCTTATAAAGATAATATGCAGACATTTACAAAGTATTCATAGTTTTGCTACAGTTACTAAATGTAATCTGTTTGATTAATTGAAATCATCAATATGAACACATGACATTTCTTAAAAATAAACCAAAAAAACCCCTTACACATTTCCTAGATCTATTCTCTGAATTAGAAATTGTGAACACTCCTGGTACCCAAATTATGGTCACCAGACACCATTTCTCACCGAAAGAACCCAGTTTCAAGGAAAAAGATACTCTAAATTTGGGACAGAATCAAATTGCTTATCATTAAGATTACTAGAGAACAGCCCCTTTTACTGAAATAAAAAGAAATAAGCATTTATCCTGCCTTTCCTATCCAAATTGTACAACTACATAATCGAAAGAGCAGGTGAGAAGCTTCTCTTTACAGAAGTATCCCAGATATTCGATAGAGAAGGAATTATAAAATTAGAACTTCTCTACTGTGCAACAACTATGTGGTAATGGATTTAGGCCTTGAACATAACTGACTGCTAATATCACAGACACTAATGTTCAAGCTGGGAGAAGAAGATCAGCATCATCTAAGAAGTAGTCTTGCTAAAAACAAAAAAATGAACCTAAATTTGGTCATCTCAGTAAACCGTCCAACTTATAGGAAATCTGAAGGCAATAAAAATCTTTTTTTTATTAATCACAATCTTTATTTGGATTCTAAAGCAAGGAAGCTATAAATATTTCCAGTACACTATCATTTGTATAAAATAAAAAGCTAGCACACATTTATTAATTTGTTTGTAAATGCAGAAAATACCTCTGGAAGAATACATGAGAAACTAACATTGGAATGAGGTAAGGGAATTGGATGGCCAAATGACAGGAGCCGGAGAGATCATTTTTGTATCTTTTGAGCTATGTGAATGCATTATATGATATATGTGCAAAAATTTGTGTGTTACAGTTAACTACAAAGATTGCCTAAAGTCATTAATTAAAGAAGTTCTTAGAGAAGCCATTCTGAACTGGAGAAATGACAAAAATAATGTTATTACCTCATCGTAGGTGTATCTATAGTCGGCTTTCTTTGACTTGAGGTCCCATAACACTACTGTTCCAGATTCAAAGCCAATCAAAAGCTGTAATAAAAGAAAATGCTACATTACCTAGGATTGACATTAATCATATTAAACATTTACTTGCTGACAATAAAGATAACTATTATTATTCATAAGCTTTGGGTACAAAATTATAGTATCATTAAACATCTGCATTGCTAATTGCTAATTACATGGATGACATATGGGAATACTGCATTGCATATTTATATGCCTTTGATCATTAGGATTTCAACATACATCATATAATCGATTATTGAAAATGAAAACAGTACCATTTTGAAGTCCAGAGTGTACATTTCCATTCATTAACATACTAATAAAAATGAAAATTTCATGTGCTTTAAAGTTTACAAACTTCTCTAATTTAACACACCATCAGGTAGTATCATTTATTCATCTACTGATTAGTTCCAAATTATATCTAGCCTAGATATAATTGTGAGATTATAGACCTCTCTTGTGAGATTAAGACTTATAATTCCAATGGTCACATGTTCATATATTTATTCCACAAGAACCTCAAAGCAAATATATTCACAAGTGAATTCATTACTTTCTTCCCTACTGTCTTTTTCTTCTGTTTCCTGTTACAGAGGTTTTCTCAGTATTTTTAAAAATATTCTTTAAGAGGCTCAAGTAAAAACTTTGGCATCAACCTCAATCCTATTGTCTCTCCCACCAGGTAAAATCATCAAGTAATTTAAAAATTACACTCATACAATTTACTTTTTTCCACTTCCAATACATCTCTCCTGGTTCAATACACAAAGATCTCTTTTCTAGTTTCTGGTCTCTCTGACTCGCTAGAGAGTCCTTATTTACTTCCTTAAATAAGTTCCTTATTTACTTCATTCCATATTGTAGCTAGAGTGATAGTTCTAAAATACAAGTCTGACCATGTAATGTATGCTTTTATTTAAAACTTTTTAATGCCTTATGCTTATTTTTAGGATCAAGTCCAAAGTTTACAATCTGACCTACAAGATATATCATGGTCTGACCTCTGCTTAACCCCTCAGCTTCATGCTGTTCCACATTCCTATTACCCAATGCATTCCAGTATATCTTTCAGGTCATGTTCTCTTACCTCTACATGCTGTCTTTACCTTTACATACAGCCTCTGCACATGCTGGCATCCTAACTGGACCACTTCATCTGAAGTCATCCTTTTTGCCTGACTAATCCTACTAATCCTTCAGGTCATTTTAGCTATCACTTCCTCCTGGAAGCCTTCCTTGACCTACCAAATGTAAGTCAGCGCCCTTCTTATTTGCTCCAACAGCAACCTGTACATTTTTTAGCCTGAAAGGTCACTCTACAATTTAATAATGTCCTTTTCTTTATCTGAATTCTCTTGCAACCTCTAACATTGGTTTATTTAACAAGAATTGGTTTCATCTTGTTTACTACTATACTTCTAACATAAGACAGACCGTCTGATATGACATAGGTATTTAATCCATTTTTTGTGAATAAATAAGTTCCAAGATGAAATCCATGTTCTTGCCTCACAAACTGCCTACTGTCTACACTTGCATTTTAGGAATCTTAGTGTTTTGTCTGCCTGTAACCTCCTCCCTTTTTACCCACTTTTGGTGTTGCTTCCCTGGGTAAGCCTACCTAGTTTCTCTGGACAAAGATGCTCCTTCTCCTATATTAATACATGCATTTTCATCTCTAGTCTCTACAGACATCTCTAGTATCTAATATACTGTCTAACACACAGTAGATGTTCAATAAATATTTGCTTAATAAGTACATGAATAATTAGCAACTAGCCAATAATCATTCATGTAATCTGGAGACATGAACGAATTTGGAGGCAGGCCCAGTAATTTTCACTAAATAGTAACTTAGTGTACTTCAGTATATAAGGGGCACTCAGAAGATCCAGTCACCGAAACTAACAAAACAGATTTACATCTTGGTAGGAGTATAGCTAATTTTCCTAACATAAACTTTCCTTTCCTTGACCATCTGTAATACATACTCCTGGGAAAAAACTGGTATTTGTTTCCTTTACCCTTTGTAGTCCTTCTAAGCATCCTGGACATGTGTATGCATTTTCTGATGGGGGACATAAGACAGGAACTTCAGGAATAAGGAAAGAGATGGAAACAGATAACAGGTAAGAATCAGTGTATAGTGTGTATGTTACGTATAGTGTAAAACAATACTGGATTGTTCAGGACACAGGTAACTGAGATTCTAGGCACAGATCTACCAACAGTAATTATTCAACTTAAATCTTTTACCCATCCAGACGTTAACAACGTAAGAGGATTATAGTAAACTTCAACCCTTCCAGCCAGCTCTACTTTCCTATAAATATCAGAAATCCGTGCCAACAAGTTAGACTTTAACCCCTATAATCTCCTAAACAGTAAAAAATAGAAGAACTAAAGGATGGGGTACTTATGAACAGAAAATTCAAAGATTATTCCCTCTAGAATCTGTAACTCATAGAAATGTTAATTTTTTAACAGTACTATTGATGAATTTTCTTTGAATTTTTCTCTCATAAAAGGCATTCATCAGGTATACTGATACAACTCTTCACATTAATACGTGATCTAAATCTTAGAGAAGAAATGTAGCATAACAGAGAATACTCTGAGGTTGAAATCAGAGAAATCACTATTCAAAATCCCAGCTCCACCTATATCTAGCCTTGTACTTCTGGAATACATAACTGGATCAAGTCTCCGCCTGATTATCTATAAAACAGGGAAAACAGCTCACTTAAGATCTGTTGGGAGGATCAAATAAAAATAGTGCACACAAAGTGGAAAGCAGGGCCCGACAAAGTAGGGTCAATAAATGGCAGTTATTACTGTTACTGTTAAGTAAGGAATTTGACATGAACACTTAACTTTCTTTGGCCAGGGCCTGTGCTTAATGTGGCAGCATCATCCACCATAAGGTTAGCTTTGAAAGAACACGTCCTATCACCTTACCTCTTTTTTCAGTGACACAATGTCAAAGAGATCTTTAGAGATAGGAATCAGTAGCGTGAAGGAAATTTTTCTATTAGAAACCAAAAGTTGGATAATATCATCTGTTCTAGCACCCTAATACTTAAAAATGTTTAAAAGAGATTAATTCTGGGAACTAAGGAGGATAATATAAGGCCACGTTTCAAAAAATGAGGATGATATAAATTTTTTCAATTAAGTATATATTGAACCAGGATTCCCAGGTGGTGCTAGTGGTAAAGAACTGCCTGTGAATGTAAGAGACGTGGGTCTGATCCCTGGGTTGAGAAGATGCCCTGCCACAAAGAAGGAAATGGCAACCCATTCCAGATTTCTTGCCTGGAGAATCCCATGGACAGAGGAGCCTGGCGGGTTACAGTCCAAAGAGTCGTAAAGAGCCATATATGACTGAAGTGACTTAGCACAAACATACTGAACAGTTATTATTTTATTGTATGTTGAGTGCTATAGGAAATACAAACTTGCATAAATCCTATCTTTGTGCTCAAGGAGCCCTTCAAGTTCAGGGGAGTTGAGATAACATATTTCTAGTTCAAGGCAATATGCGGTAAATACTATACAACTTGCACAACTTAGGTGCTAATAAATTTAGAAGTGAGAGAAAGAATTTTATGTCAGGATTGTCAACAAAGGTATCATGAAAGATACGTTATTTTAATCTGAGCCTCAAGATGTGAGTAGGGATTTAGCAGAGAAAGAACAGTGAGAAGGAATTCTGAGCAAAAGGTCTTACATAAAGAAGTCATGGAGATAGTAAAGACCAGCTCACATTTGGGCAGCAGTAACTATTTGCTTCAGAGACAAAGTAGGGTCAATAAATGGCAGTTATTACTGTTACTGTTAAGTAAGGAATTTGACATGAACACTTAACTTTCTTTGGCCAGGGCCTGTGCTTAATGTGGCAGCATCATCCACCATAAGGTTAGCTTTGAAAGAACACGTCCTATCACCTTACCTCTTTTTTCAGTGACACAATGTCAAAGAGATCTTTAGAGATAGGAATCAGTAGCGTGAAGGAAATTTTTCTATTAGAAACCAAAAGTTTGATAATATCATCTGTTCTAGCACCCTAATACTTAAAAATGTTTAAAAGAGATTAATTCTGGGAACTAAGGAGGATAATATAATGCCACGTTTCAAAAAATGAGGATGATATAAATTTTTTCAATTAAGTATATATTGAACAAGGATTCCCAGGTGGTGCTAGTGGTAAAGAACTGCCTGTGAATGTAAGAGACGTGGGTCCGATCCCTGGGTTGAGAAGATGCCCTGCCTCAAAGAAGGAAATGGCAACCCATTCCAGATTTCTTGCCTGGAGAATCCCATGGACAGAGGAGCCTGGCGGGTTACAGTCCAAAGAGTCGTAAAGAGCCATATATGACTGAAGTGACTTAGCACAAACATACTGAACAGTTATTATTTTATTGTATGTTGAGTGCTATAGGAAATACAAACTTGCATAAATCCTATCTTTGTGCTCAAGGAGCCCTTCAAGTTCAGGGGAGTTGAGATAACATATTTCTAGTTCAAGGCAATATGCGGTAAATACTATACAACTTGCACAACTTAGGTGCTAATAAATTTAGAAGTGAGAGAAAGAATTTTATGTCAGGATTGTCAACAAAGGTATCATGAAAGATACGTTATTTTAATCTGAGCCTCAAGATGTGAGTAGGGATTTAGCAGAGAAAGAACAGTGAGAAGGAATTCTGAGCAAAAGGTCTTACATAAAGAAGTCATGGAGATAGTAAAGACCAGCTCACATTTGGGCAGCAGTAACTATTTGCTTCAGTATAGTGTTCAGGTAAGGCTGTTCTCAAAGATAATGAAACCTAGGGTTATTTTCACAGAAACACTGCTTTGTTTGTTTGATAACATAGAACGACTGAAAGCTTTGGGACAGGAGAACAAGAAGATTAAAATGGCACTCCAGGAAGACTGATCTGGAGATGACTCAAGATTGGGTAGGAATGCCTGGAACTGCAGTGGTGGGAAGGAGACTGAATAGCAAAGAGACACTGCAGTGGAAGGACTGAACTGATTCAGTGACTGAGTCAGTGTAAAAGAAACGCAAGTTTCCAACTCTTCTACCAGGTCCCCTACCTAAAGGCTGGCTTTCAGACAATTATCTTATACCAAAAATAAATAAGTGAAGATACAGGTTACTGTAACTTGCTTAATGGAAAGTTTCTCTCAAAACATACATTGGCATGATTAAGTCAGCTTCAAACAGTACAGTACAGCCATCCTTTTGTTTTCCCAGTGTCAAATAAGAGAACGGTGTTAAAACAACATAGAGACATCACCACTCCCAGTAATTAAGGAAAGGAAAAACCTGAGTAAACTGCTTCACAAAATCCAGAAGTTTCATTTCACTGATTTCTGGTAGTGATTAACTTCCTGGTATTTATGCAAACTAATTATAATGAAACTTTATAAGTAGAAAAAACATAATTAAATAGAACTGAGACTGGTTTAAATTATGAAACAGAGATTCATGGAAATGAAAATTTTATTGTTTTTTTAGTGTATTAAAGAACCTAAACTAAATTTTATTGCTTTTCACGGTATTAAAGAACCTAAATTAACAACAGCTAGGTAATGACTGCATGGAACTGGTTTCGGGTATAAAAAAGTATTATTTTAAAAAATACCTATTAACATGAGCCTTTGGTTAATATTAACTTTGGTTAATAAAATAAAAACACCAAAGTCTTTGACTGTGTGGACCACAACAAACTATAGAAAATTCTTAAAGTGAAGAGCAGACCACCTTACCTGCCTCCTGAGAAATCAGTATGCAGGTCAAAAAGCAACAGTTAGAACTGGACATGGAATAGACTGGTTCCAAATCAGGAAAGGAGTATGTCAACGGTGTATACTGTCACCCTGCTTATTTAACTTATATGCAGAGTACATCATGCAAAATGCCTGGCTGGATGAAGCACAAGCTGGAATCAAGATTACTGGGAGAAATATCAATAACCTCAAACATGCAGATGACACCACCCTTATGGCAGAAAGGAAGAGGAACTCAAGAGCATCTTGATGAAAGTGAAAAGAGGAGAGTGAAAAAGTTGGCTTAAAACTCAACATTCAAAAAACTTAGATCATGGCATCTGGTCCCATCACTTCATGGCAAATAGATGGGGAAACAGTGGAAANAAGTTAATAAGCTTTAATTGTATTTATTAAATTTTACTTGTTTTAGGGTTTTCTTCTTTAAAATGTAAGTGATTTTAATTCTTTCACTTGTTCCTTATAATCTATAAATAAGCAATTGTTTATATGATATACAACCTTTGTTAGCAATCTCAAATTTGCAGAGTAAGCGTGATTCCAGAATAGTTTGAATACTTAAAAAATACTGGAATTCATGCATTTAAATAATAAATATATTTATTTAATATATTTACCTTTCCTTCATCCATTGGATTATCACTTATATGGACAACAGGCCCTGGGTGAGATTTAGATGACCTGAAAGAAAAAAAGTTAAGATTTTTTTTTTTTCTCAACCAAAAATTGCATACAACTACACATTCATTACAACAGAAATAATGACTGGAAAATCAAGATGTATCTACAAGGGTTGAAAACATTTCAGTAAATGATTGCTATCTTTATTTTACTCAATTCTAGCCTCCAATTGGGGTATGTCATTCAATTCTACAGTTCATATCAAAAATAAGAAAAGTTGCATTATGCTTAGAAAAAAAAAGTTCCATCAATATTTACTCAGAGAAAAAGAAGTCATACAGGTAAGAATGCAGCTGAACTGAGGCCTACAGAGTAGAAACAGATACGCAATATTTGCTCAAACTCACAATTCAATGGCTTTATTCCACATAATGACGTAGCCTGAGAGTGTGAAGGACTCCACGTTGACAATATGTATGTTACCTCGTTCAGTGCCCACATAGAGCCACTTACTCTGGAAAGGCAGATGGCAAAATGTAACCCTGCAAAACAAAATATATCCAAAGGAAATGAGAAAAATACCTGGTAAATTTTATTAACTGTGTCAGAGAAGCAATACTGATATATACAATTTAGGAAACAAAAAAGATACAACCATATTTACCTCAGTGCAGTTAATATTCAATTATGCTAATTCTACGTTAATGTCAAATATAAGTCATTACAAAAATAAATAGCATAACAGAGAAAAGACGAGTTTTGACATTAGTATGTGTTCCAAATCTGGCTATTTCAAATCCACTGTGCTACTTCAGGCACATCGCAAACTGAATCTGTGAAGCCACAAACTGAGTCTAACACTTATCACTTCTGGGCACTATCATATTCCTCAGAAGCTATTAAACACACAAATCCATCTCAAAACCTGTGCTGACTATTCCTTCCATGCAAAATGCTCCTCCTGCTCACAATTTTCTTCTGGTCAAGATCCAGTTAAAATACCGCCTTCATTCAAATCGATATCCCAATGCTTTTGTACCTCTATCTGGCTTGCCTTATAAAAGTCTACCTTTCTCACTGACCTGTAAGCCTCTGGAGAGCAAAGGTCCTCTGTACTCAGGCTTAGATAATGACACTGGAGTATATTCAAACGATCTCTTTCCGATGACGCAAGAGATCTCCGTTGACACATTATAAAAATGTATAGGCAGGAATTAAAGTTTATAATCGTTCAAACAATTTCAAACATTTTCTATATAAGCTCAATTGATTACAAGGTAAAGAATGGAACCTACCTTGTCCTTTTTGTAGAACTTATTTTTAGTAAAAACATAGTATGTTATGAAACCATATAAACTCATTTTTTTCAGACAATGTGTTGTGTCTTTCAAAATATACTATTTAAGATTTTAATGGAATAGCCCTTCAAATAATATACAAAGAAGATAATCGCTGCTGAACTCTTTAACTGACACTAAGCATTAGACAAGATATAACATACCAAGCATTTGTTATTCCTATTAACATAATTTCATCACACAGAAATTTCAAGATGAAAACACTTCAAATACATGCAACTCATGATCTCACTATTTCCCAAAGGTAATAGATAATCACTTAAGGTTCATCAACTATATTTTTTGTCAAGTGTTTTATATGACAGTATGTCATCTTTCCAAAGGATTTATGTGTTAATTGAACAAAGCAAAGAAATGACTACTGAATCAAAAAACATAGCATCCTATTACTTTTTGGGCTTCCTGGTGGCTCAGACAGTAAAGAATCTGCCTGCAATGTGGGGGACCTGGATTTGATCCCCGGGTTTGAAAGATCCCCTGGAGGAGGGTATAGCAACCCACTCCAGTATTCTTGCCTGGAGAATCCCATGGACAGAGGACCCTGGTGGATTCCAGTCCACGGTGTTTCAAAGAGTCGGACATGACTGAGCAACTAAGCAGACACTCCTTACTCCACAAGGCAGTAAGTCCACAGTACTTTCACAAAAACTTAGGACTATACTGGGTTCAGAATTTTCCACATTTTAGAAAGGTACATAATGAGTATTTTGTGTATTACCTAGTATGGTGGTGTGTTAGTTGCTTAGTCGTGTCCGACTCTTTGTGACCCCATAGGGTGTAGCCCACTAGGCTCCTCCATCCAAGGGACTTTCCAGGCAAGAATACTGGAGTGGGTTGCCATTTCCTTCTCCAGAGGATATTCCTGAGTATGGTAGTATGTGGGTGCTAAGTCATTTAGTCATGTCTGATTCTTTGCGACCCCATAGACTGTAGTCTGCCAGGCTTCTCTGTTCATGGGATTCTCCGGGAAAGAACACTGGAGTGGGGTTGCCATGCCCTTCTCCAGGGGATCTTCCTGACCGAGGGATTGAACCCATGTGTCTTACACATCCTGCTCTGGCAGGCAGTTTCTTTATGCGGTAACATCTGGTGAATGCACTGATTATTTTTGAGGAATAATTTCTGGCAATTGCATTTACTTGAGACATAATCATCATTTAACAGTAGTTTTGGGTGTACAACATAACACTTCAATATATGTATATATTATGCAATGATTACCACAATAAATCTAGTTATCATCCATAGGTACAGGTATAGTAAGAATTTTTTTTCTGTGATGAGGACGTTTAGTACCTACTCTCTCCAAAAAGTTCAAATATATAACACAGTGTTATTACCTATAATCACTGGTGGTTTCTTAAAGAGCTAAATATACACCCACCATATGAACCACCCATGCCATTCCTAGGTATTTAACCAGAAGAAGGAAAGCGTATGTATAGGTCTACACAAGACCAGTATACAAACGTTCATAGTGACTTTGCAAGAGCCCTAAAGTGGAAATAAACCAAAGGTCCTTCAACAGGTAAATGAACAAATTATATACTTAGAATAGTATTTTATGTGTTATGTACTTAAGAATATTATTCAGTAGTAAATAAAAATAAACCATACATGCAACAATACCAATTAATCTCAAAGTACTGAAGATGAGGGAAAACCAGACAACAAAGATATATTACATGGTTCTGCATACAATGTATATGCCATAGAAAAATGCAAACTAATCTATTGTAACAGAAAACAAGTCAGAGCTTGCCTGGAATTGTGGGGTAGGGACCAGAAACAGAAGACGGGAGGGATTACCACAGGAAACATTCTGAGATGATGGGCAGGTTCATTATCTTGATTATGGTGACAGTTTCATGAGTGTACATATGTGTCAAAACTTATCAAACTGAACGCTTTAAATGTGTGTAGTTTACTATATGTCCATTATACCTAAATCAAGCTTTATAAAAAAAATTTTTTCAGAGCTGTGTGGTTTTGGGAATTATGAAAACAAGATTGTCACTCTACTACTTAGGCAACAAGCTCTGGAGTTAAACTGCCTTGATTTAACTTCCAGCTCCAACACTCACTAGCATGATCTTCAGGAACCCACTCAATCTCTCAGAGCTTCAGTTTCTAAGCGGCAGAGCCTCGGTGACTGAGGATCAAATAGAAAAACATGGGAGATGCTTAAAATGGGGCCTTGACATACGTAAGTACTCAATACACGTGAGCTAATTATTATGAAAAACTGAATGCTACTCTACCAATTAGAGGTTACAGGCAAATTGTAACAACATAAAGAAAATAAATCACACGAATAGCATGCCACGTACAAAATGAACAATGCGTTTAATATCATAAGCTATCTCATGTGAAATGTGCCCTAAAGTGAAACATGAGTACAGCTGAAACATTCTGAAAATTCAAAAATAATTTCAAAATAAATAAGCCAAAATCATGAGTTGGACTTAAAAAAAAAAAAAAAGAAATATCCAACTTCCTGATCTGTACTTTTTTGCCATTTTCCATTACTCTTCAAAAAAGGAGTAGTTACTGGCTCAATACAATTACATGATCCACCTTTGATTTTAATACTAACAACATCATTTAAGTAATATGTTTACAAAGTTTAAACTTATCTCCTTAAGGGTAGAGATTTTGGATATATGATACAATGTTTTCTGTTCCTACCACAGCAACACCATACTACAGCTGTTTCTCAAATATTTAAAGAAATGAAGTCAGAACAAATTCTTTACTGTTCAGAAAAAAATCTAGAGTTTTCCCCTAGACTCACTTTTTCAATATTAGTTACCATAGTAAGTTGTTTTTTTTTTTTCCTCCAGTCAACTATAAAACCAACTTACATTGCTGGGAAATTTGAAGCATCTTTATCTTTTAATCTTTATCCTACTTAATGCTTAACATTTTAAGAAGGAACTTAAAATGTTTACTTACTGATCTGGCACAAAGACTTTAATATCATCCCTGGAATGAGTCTTGTATACTTAAAAACAACATGAACCATAAGGGTGTATTTGTACAATGCCCCACCAAATTTAAAACTTACTCTGTTCCAAAACTACCATCATTATTTAAGTCAATTGAGAAGGGGGAAAGTCAAATTTTTTAAAATTACAATTAACTTGATAATGTCTTAACTAGCAAATTTTCATGAACATGTTGGATTAGGAATATAATGAGAAAAATAAAATTCCATGTTGCAATCAAACAAAACAATACCATGCCAGTGCTTTAGGGAAAGGCCAAAAGAAAATAAGGTTCCCTGAAATGCACTACTAAAATGAAGCAAGTCAATCAATATGCTTTATGAAGAAATGCAAGATTCTAAAATTTGGGACAATTTAATCAGTCAGTTACCAAAATATGAAGTTGGTGGTTAACACAAACTAGACTTGACTTACTATAATGAGCTCAGTTCAGTTCAGTTCAGTTCAGTCACTCAGTTGTGTCCAACTCCTTGCAACCCCATGAATCGCAGCACGCTAGGCCTCTCTGTCCATCACCAACTCCCGGAGTTTATTCAAACTCATGTCCATCAAGTCNTTGATTCCAGCTTGTGCTTCTTCCAGCCCAGCGTTTCTCATGATGTACTCTGCATATAAGTTAAATAAGCAGGGTGACAATATACAGCTTTGACATACTCCTTTTCCTATTTGGAACCAGTCTGTTGTTCCATGTCCGGTTCTAACTGTTGCTTCCTGACCTGCATATAGGTTTCTCAAGAGGCAGGTCAGGAGGTCTGGTATTCCCATCTCTTTCAGAATTTTCCAGTTTATTGTGATTCACACAGTAAAATGCTTTGGCATAGTCAATATAAAAGAAATCGATGTTTTTCTGGAACTCTCTTGTTTTTTCAATGATCCAGTGGATGTTGGCAATTTGATATCTGGTTCCTCTGCCTTTTCTAAAACCAGCTTGAACATCTTGAAGTTAACAGTTCACATATTGTTGAAGCCTGGCTTGGGGCTAGTGTCCTTTAAATTTGTTATACAAACATGACCTTATTTCCTTGTTACAAAGTAAGAATCTTAGTCTTCTCTGCTGGAAATTAAGATAAATAGCTAAGGAAGCTTTTTTCAAATAATTAAATTGGTGAAAAATTATATTAATTGGTTACTTAAGAATAACATGTATTGGCATACTGAAAACTATACACACATATT